GCATGGTGTCTCCCGCGAGGGACGACACCGAGAAGGGCAACACCTTCCCCAGCACTAGAGGGAGCTCTCAGCTCACCTCGGGCCATGCCTTTGGCTCCAGCAAGGATTCATCCTTGCGGGCGGAGCTTTTGCCACGCTCTATTCGCGTCTTGGTCACCATACCAACGGCGCGAAGGTGTCCTTCATCGACACCGTGTACCGTGACGGTACACAACCGTGGTGTAGGTGTCTCCCATCGACACCATGTACCGTACGGTACTAACCTTTGGTGCGGTACGCCCACCACAAGGTTGCCATGTTTGGCGGCAACAGCTTCTGCTGTGCTGTCGCCTGAACAGATTCATGGCCAGTGCTCGCATCATGCACGACGCATGTGCAAGCACAGTGTATAGGTCCATGGGACCGTACACGAGGCACGCTGTGTACGATACGTACCACAGCTACCATAAGTGCTCCGTGCACTTCATGTGTGTCATGCACGACGAGTTCATTACGTGGAACTCCTGGCAGGTTGCTCGACAGCAGCCAGTGCCGATGCACGGTACGTGCGTTGACTCACAGCGTCCAGAGCGCATCGGGTCGTGGTATGGTGCATATTCTTTGCACCTATACCAGTGTCTGTCACAGACACCATGTACCTTGATGGTACTCGACCGTGGTGGGGCATATCTCACCACCATGCCACTGCGGCGTTGGTGTCTGGCATTGACACCGAGTACTCACGGGTACCAACCCATGGTGAGGCAAGCTGCCGTCGCCACGGTGTCATGCTCGGCGCGGCACCAGTTACGACTGCGTGCCTTGCCTCGACCACCACCTGGTCAGTTGTGTGTGCACTCGTGCACCACACTTGGGTTATGGCTCCACGGCCCATTATACCCGGCGCGTTGCGTACATCACGTACCGCAACCGCTTTGTCGGCGGGTGAGACGTTCCGTTCACCCTACTCGACAGGTCGTTCATGACCAAGGGACTTACACTAGGCCCGCGCTTCGCCTCGTGTGTGGGTTGCTTGCAACCCCAACACTGCTGATTCGCTCAGCGATTCCGAGGCACCTTGCGCCCGTGGCTTTCTTCGCCACTATGTCTTGTTCGGCTAGAGCTACCGCAGCTCTAGCCCGGCTGTTCGCCTCCAGCCTGCAGTCGATGTACATCGACGCCTGATTCCGTAAGAACTTGGTCTTACCTCAGACCAGGGAGGAAAGGTATTTCCGAGCCTCTCCCCCACTTACACTCGAGACTACTGAGTCTCTCGTGGCTTCTAATAGCCACTGGCAGGCGCAACGGCTCTCCGCCATGTGCACTGCGTCGGTATGGCCGACCGCGTCGGCCGTGTCGACTGAAGGCATTCAGCCTTCGCGTCAGCAGTTTGAGTCTGCGCGACTTGACGTCGAGCGAGTTGCTCATGTCTGGCGAGGCCAAGACAACCTCGCGCCTCGAGCCAATGGCTCTGTGTGCGGCGCTATGTTACTCGCCGTGGGTGTGGAACTCTGTTACCCACACCGGAAGCGCATACAGCGACTTCCTTATCAGTTATGGTCTGAGTGACCTTGCGTGGAACTTTGTTACCCACGCCCGGAGCACCGAATGTCGGTCTCCTTAAGCAGCTTCACTGCTTGCGGAACTTGTTACCCGCAGTGTGGACCTATGTTACCCACCTGGTGAATGCCCTTAGGCACCACCACTGTCGAAGCGCATACGGCGCGACGACCTTCGGTGTTGGGATCGGCTGGTGTGGCAGACCCGCCCACACACCGGACAGAGTTGGTGTCCACCGACCGAGTCAGAGGAGTTCGGGCCCTGGACTCCGAGTCGCTTGAAGCGACGTCGGCCTGAACAAGGTTCAGACCCGACTTGCGGCGGCTGACGTGACGTGGCACTTCGTTACCCACGTCGTGATGTCTCGTTGACGACATCAGAGGCACTCGAGACCTCGTGTGGCACTGTGTTACCCACACAGGAAGCATGGACAATGCCTTCCTCTTCAGTTATAGTCTGGGCGACTGCGTGTGGTACTGTGTTACCCACACAGGAAGCATGGTCATGCCTTCCTCTTCAGTTATAGTCTGGGCGACTGCGTGTGGTACTGTGTTATCCACACAGGAAGCATGGTCATGCCTTCCTCTTCAGTTATAGTCTGGGCGACTGCGTGTGGTACTGTGTTATCCACACAGGAAGCGCATTCAGCGCCTTCCTCTTCAGTTAAGGTCTGGGCGACCGTGTGGTCCTAAGTTACCCACCTGGTTAGCGCTTAAAGGCATAACCACTGTCGAAGCCCGTACGGCGCGACGACCTTCGGCGTTGGACGCTGCTGGTGTAGCAGGTCCACACGCCGGGCAAAAGACCCATGCCCGTGGCATTGCCGCAGCGTAGCATGGTCTTGCTGTACGCAGAGCTGTCGGCGCGTTGACAGCTCCGTGACGCTTCTGCGTCCTGGCGGTCTGTATCAGACGCCCCAGTCATGACGGAGGTGGGAACATGACTCACCAATGCTCCGTCATAGACCTGGACTGGTAGGCCCTTCTCAGCCTTGCCACACCAAAGTCCGGGCTGTGCCTTATGTTCGGCACAGCCATGTTGTTCATGGCGAGAACTGCGAGCGACACCGCGGTGCGCGAGCTCATCGAGCCGAAACGTTCAGGTCCGTTGAGGACCATTGATACTACCGTACCAAAGGCTAGTCCATCAAGGACCAGCCCATGACCGCCACTCTGACATAGAGTGCAGTCGGATGTCGCTATGCCAAGCGACGTTCCGGCGGCGTATCAGCGCCCCAGAACTCATCAAACGTTCAAGGGGTACCGTACCCCCGTACACCGAGTGTACTACCAGCAGCCCATCACTGCCCTTCACCGGTTTGAGAGAACCACGTCTCTCTGGGCTAAGTCCCGTGGTGTGCACAACCTGCACACCCATCACAAAGACTTAGCGCTTTTCAGTAGGGCATACCGCCTCTACTGGTGGCCGGGAAGTCTTCGTCCACCTGGCCGTGGCCTGCGCCACCGGACTTGGGGCCCACGGGCCGTCTTCTTCCCGAGGACTAGCGAGGGACACACACGCTGGTAGTGTCCATGTCCGCCGCATCCATAGCAGCGGACCAAGCTCTCGGCTGAGCTTAAGTCCATGGGCTCGGGCTCGCTGTACGCACCGGTATCGACGGGCTGCGTGACAGCAGGAGCAACAGCGTCATTGCTGCGATGCTCCGCCTCCCGAGGAACGCCATTCTCATCGTGGCGATGTTCTTCTTCCCGAAGAGTACCAGCCTGCTTGTGGCTGTACTCTTCTTGGAGGGCGATTCGAATCGCCTCCTCCATAGTTGTCGCTTGCACCCGGAATAGCTGGGTGCGAGCAGGACCGACTTTCAGGCCGTCCATGAAGACTGTTGTCTTGACGTCTTCGGGCAGAGGATTCCCTGCCAGAGATGCCACCAACGTGCGCATCTCTTGCGCATACGCCTGCAGCTCACGTTTACCTTGCTTGCACGCGAGAAAGCGTGAGCGCTGGCGGAACTCGTTGTTCGCCGGTAGGAACGCGGCTCGAAGCTGCTCACACAGCTGAGCCCAGGATGCAAAGCATCCAGGAGATGTCGTCTCCCTGGTGTACGCCCAGTGCTTGGCACGTCCACCAAGGTTGGACAGGGCAAACGCCACCCGAACTGTCTCGTCCGAGATGAGACCCGCCTTCATGGCGATCTCCACCTCACGGACCCAGAAGTGAAGGTTCTCTCCTTCCTTCCCCTCAAACGCGGGGACCTTCAGCCACACCGGCTTAGGCCTGGTTGCCTGGGGAGCGGCCATCGTGGCCTCCAAGCCCCCGCGGACGTGAGCGATGAGACCACGCTCGTAGGTCTCAAACGCGGTCACGCGTTCTTGTTGCTCGGCAGGCGTCGCCGCCGCCAAGCTGCGAAGGACATCTTGTCCAAAGATGCCTCCCATCTTCCGAACAGACTCGTACTGTGAGTCGTTCAAGCGAGGAAACTCGCTTCGGTCCATCGTGGCTCAAACGCTGAGCGCACAGAGGATTCAGGTAGCTCAATCTACCCGCGATGGTGTTGGATTGACTACGAGTGCTACCAAGTGTGACGGGGTCACACAGCACCTTGCACAGAGGAAGTGCTTAAGGGTATTAACTACCCGAGTGAACGTAAGTCCACGTGTTCCCGGCCTCAGTGGGAACGGTTTGCTACTTAGAGGAGTAGATTTAAGGCTGATGTATTTATAAGTAAGATAAGCTTGGGTCTCATACAAACTAGAGGTTACCTATAGTGGAGCTAAGTAGTCATGCACTGACTGGCTCCGAGAGCACCTGGTACCGTGTACCAGGTGTCCACAAGAGTGACGGGTCACTCTTTATGTAACATGGGGCACACTGGATTGTACCCCGTTACAGGACCTGTGAACTGCCGTTCACTGAGAGTTTGTATACTCTCGGAAGATAACTTCCTCTAGCGCAAGGTGCTGTGTGACCCCGTCACAGTTTGTATACTCTTTGAAGAAAACTTCCTCTAGCGCAAGGTGCTGTGTGACCCCGTCACATTTAAGCAGCGCTTTTTGGCTGCACGGACACAAGCGCCAGCTCTACATCTACTTGACGGGGACACGGACCCGTACAATATCGCACCATCCGAAGCGCTTCAGTGGATATGTGATGCCGCGAACGAGGTGCCGTCACGGGACATTAGAAGCTACTGGAGACGTGCTGGATTTTACGTTGATGTAGTGAAATTGACGATCTACTCAATCCGATCGAGTAAGATATTAATTCTTTAATACAGTACATTTGAGACCTCCTCGATTTGTTTTGACTTACGTTACGTAAATGCCTTCAGTACTTAATTCGTTGAACCCCCTGTATTAACTATGGAAGACATATCGACCCTACCATTTGGTCCCATAGGTATACAAGTACTTGTATGTGCTTGCTGCTTTAAGAACTTCTTACAAGTACATGTATACCAATACTTCTTAATAAGAAGTATTGGTTCTTGCCAGCTCATTTGCCTAGCTGGTGGCGTTGTACAGACTGTGGATGTACGCGATCGCCTCGGCGCGGAACAGGTCCGGCTCAATGTAGGCGAGATCTGTGACGTTGGCGTCGAACACGATATTTTGCGGGTCGTCGAGCGAGTACTGAGGCCACTCGATGTCTATCACGCCGTTGTTGTTCGGCGTCTGGTCGACGATGAAGCTCGCCCACATGCGAGTCATTATCCGAGCAAGCTGCTTGAAGTTGTCCGGCTTGTTGAGGAACGGATCTGTCGCCACCGACGTGTTATAGCCGTTGCCTTCAAGGTTGTAAAACACGAATGCAACCTCCGTAAAGTGTGTCGAGCCGAGAAACTGCGAGACACCAGCGGGCACAACATTGAACCGGTAGCTGTACACGGGCACGTCGTCGCGCGCCCACATCTGGGACATAAATCGTCAAGGACCGTGCTGGTTGTTGTCGCCAGCATAAGCCTCCACCCGCTTGTACATGTATCCGTAGCTGGTGTCATTGCCCGGGCGGCCATGCCGATCTGGGGGATGTCAGGGTACATCTTCAACAGCACATCAGCCTCATCGTCACTGTAGGCCATGGTTCCAACCAAGTACTCGTAGAACTCCTCGGTCGTGTTAATACCCGTTTTGCCGAATGCAGTGCCCTCGTCACAGTTTGCTCCGTGCAGAATCGGCACGTGTACGAATTTGCCCTCGCCGATGAGCTTCGGGCCAACGTCCATCAGAAAGTCACCGTCGACAGACGGCGCGTACATCGCTGAAGTGGCTGCAGTGCTGTTGAAAATGGCCGATAACGTGTCAATCGGGACATGGCGGAGACACTCGAGGGTGTCCTTAGCAGAGCTGCAGTTTGCGGCATCAGTGATGCTGTTGTAGTTGATGTCCCAGGCAGAGGCGTTTTTGAAGCTCTTGGGCCAGTAAGCTGAAGCTCCCGATTGCATCACGGCACTACGGAAGAGACCGTCGTTACGACCATCGTAAGCAATTAGCTGGTAGCCGATGCTGCGCGCACCAGCACTCTCGCCCCAAATCGTGACCTCGCTGGCATTGCCACCAAAAGCCGCAATGTTCTCCTGTACCCAGTGTAAGGCGAGACGTTGGTCCTTGAGTGCGAGGTTGGCCACGCCAGCCTTGTGCACAGCAGTACCCGACATGAACCCGAAGGCCTGAAGACGATAGTTGAAGCTGACGCCGATGAACGGCTTGCCGGCTGCTACAGCTTCTTCCACGATGTAAGACAGATTGTAGCGAGGATCACGGGCACCACCCTGGGTAAGACCACCGCCGTAAATCCAGACTCCGACAGGCAGGTTGTCTCCTTCCGATATGTTGCTTGGGCGAACGACATTAGTCCTCCGAAATTATGTTGCCCAGCACCTACTGATCACTGCCGTAGCCGTAACATTCGGGAGAGTACTCAGTTGCGTTTTTGATGTCAGTCCAGGTCGTGTTGAGCGGTTCTGGATTCCGAAAGCGAAGGCTGTTGACGGGAGGCTGGGCAAACGGCATGCCAAGGAAGAGGTCCTGGTCGTAGGCTGGCTGGTAGACGCCGAAGTAAGAACCATTCTTGACGGCGGCTGTGGGAGCATCCGAGGCAGTGATCGGAGTGTTGAATAGCGCAACAGCCGTGGTTGGGAGCAGAAGAGATCGCATGGTGGTGGAGAAATGCCGTCAACGATTGCTGGAAAGACGATAAGTGGGGTGGTGATTCACCAGTGGTGGTTCACCAGTGGTGAATCAATCTTGTCTTGGCAATTCATCATACTGTACTGCCCGCAAGGATTTGCAAAATTGAGCCGCAAACTGCATGTACTGTACCGTTTACAAGATCTCCTCCTACCGTATCTCCTAATTAAAACTGTAGAAAAGATTCTAGAGTGACATAGACAAACATTTTCAAAACAAAAGAACAAGACAACGTTAGAGTGTCCAGCAACAAAATCAAAACCAGGCAACAACTTCAACAATTTGACGTCTGAAGTAGGAGATCTTGTATACGGTACTGTACATGTAACTTTACTGCATCAATCTCTTTGATCTGTCTGAGGAATTGGCGGCGCTGCGGGTTTCGGCATCTACCGGCGATAGTAGAGCGTGGATGCTATTACTGTCATAGCGCGAACCCGAACGCGAAGTTCACTTCAAAGCGAGCATGCAGCTATTGTAGCGATACATAGCGAACTATTAGCTCCTGACTACAAGACAGATGGGGGCACGAGCAGTTTTGACAATCGATCCCGCGCTTGTCGATCACGATTTGCTTCGTGGTTGAAGCAGGAAAGCCCCACTTGAAGCGGAAATGAACCATTCAGAAGAATTACCATAATCCAGTAGTACTGGATTGTCAAGTAAAAAATCTAACTACACATGAACCCTTCGGTAGTAATCCCTGCTGACAAGAATAAATATCAGTACAATAATCGCTCTCACTTCCGGTATCGTGGTCCGACCATATCCTAGGATTTGATATATTTTCTTAAAGAAAAAAGCTACAGTACATTTACAAGGTAAACTGAGAGGCAAGGATAATGACATCTTCTACGTCTCATCGGGTCCGTAGCTAGTGTGACCGACCGCTTTACTTCTTTCATCAGCGGCATCTGCGTTCGCGGTGAGAGCAAGTGTAATACGAGTCTTCCTTTTCTTGGCACCGCGAGCGCCGCTGGTGCAAATGGAGCTGGAGGGAGCCATAGCATAGCAGAATCCGGTTTCATCCATGTTGTAGATATCTTTAGGTTCGTAAAGGTCGGTCAAATCTTGTGGTCGCTGACGGCCGAGCGCTACTTCGACGGGATCAGCAGTGCCAGCTTCGCCAGGGAGTTTCCGGCTCCGCAAGCTATGCCTCCGCTCCCCGTCAGTACACCCTCCTTAAAGCGATTGTATCGATATTTTAGGGATATTATTTTATACCAGTACCGGAATGGGAGGTAGCCGAAGAATTGAAGTTTTAAAAACATGTACAACCTAAAATAAGATACATATCACCCCTCCTTCAGAAAATGTGATACAAAATTACCAAAAATGAATGTTCTGAGTTGCGTAACTATGAGAAAGTCACTATTGTGCAGCATGTCCAAAGTAGGCAAGCCGGGACACTTGGTGCTTGCACCCTTCCTTCGTGTTTAGCTCATCTAACAGCTCTCTCTCTGCATTACGCTGCATCGCCCTAAGCCCCTGTTCACTTCGACCGTTGAATCTGCTCGAATAGCAGCTTGGCGTTGCGCTTGCCGCGCGTCCTTATAATACTGAAGAGGTCTTAAGGGCAAAATCACTCGATCTTGCATCTTATTTCGTCCTCATAGTAAGGAAAAACATTGTGCTGGGGTTAAGGTGTTCCTTAATATCCACAGAACTGAGCTCTACATAATCATTCTTTGCTTCGCCTCCAGTGTCCTCGGAGGCACTCATCGAGTTAATACTCGCGGAATCATCCCCCACCTCGACTTCTCAAAAGTCTCCATCAATGGGGCCGTTGTACACGTTCTCATCTGATGGATTCAACAGTCCGTCACCGATATCGGATCGGACGCATGCAGGCGCGACAACATTACAGCTATATATTTTTTTGGTTGAGTAGTATTGATGTCACTTAACTACTTTGGCTAACGACTTCCTATACCCGCTACAGCGCCGCCGTCCCTGACCCGGCCTCTCGCTGTTCGTCTTCCGGCCAACTTGGGGAGTTCTCCCCTCTTTCTCCCCACTATTGGGGGGGTCTTGAGGATGCTGTCTCGCATCGATTGTCGAATGGCCGATTGCCACTGAGCCACATCGCCATCCATTTGAGTTAATACCGAATTTCATCTTTGCAGTTGTGCTGTGTCACTTGTGACGTGCATTTGGAAGCTACGTTTGGAGTCCATTGCAAGGTTAGCCAGACAGTCGGCCATCTCGTTCTGCCCTCTGAGGTGGTGATGCCATTGGATGGCATTTAGCTTGTCCGCTATTTTGCGGCTACTCCAGTAGTAATTGCGCAGGTGTTTGGCCTTGGGGGGTTTTCTTTGTGCCTGCTGCCGGATTATCATGGCGCTGTCCCCGATGACGTGCAACGGTTCATACTTTCGTGCTTCGCAGGCTTTGAGCCCTGCAAGGAGGCCCAGATTTTTTGGGCCATATTATTGGTGGTCTTCTTGCTGACATAGGACATAGATCCTATCCAGCACACTTGTACACCTGCCACCATCGCTCCCGTCCGAACGACGATGGCCCCGCTTCTGCCGGGGCCCGGGTTGCCTCGTGAGCCCCCATCGAAAAACAGCAGATGAACATGGGACCCGGTGCATGTCATGAATTCTGGTTCCATCACCACTTCGGTCGCGAGGACTGTCCGCAGTAATTGTTGCGCCATTCTTGCATGCGTCGATTGCGTCTGTGCTTATATGCCTATAAACTGTTTCGTATCCATGTCGGAGTCTAGCCTTCATCTGCGCAGTTGCGGTGAGAGTCCGTAATATTGTTAAGTGCTTCGAAGTGACCAACTCGCCATCGCCACACTGCATGAAAGTACAGCACGGCACCTAGTCTCCAGCAATGGTCCACCAGTGTAGTGACCGCTTCGATGAAAAGACTAGAGGATTTGTGCTCGAACATTGACTCTGCTTTCTTCCAAATGCCCGCAGGAACTTGGGGAAGAGATAGACTGAACAGCGCGCGTTTGAAAAGGCCTGCTGGGACCCTGCCTTCATCCGAGGCTTAGTCAGCTGGCCCCTCAGTTTTTCTGCGGCTGGGCAGGTCCAAAACACGTGATAGATATCAACCTCAGTGAGGTGAATGCAGCCGGTATGAGGGCAGCCCACCTTGTGACAACCAACATCATATAGTGAGAAAGCATTCCATTTCAGACGGATGAGAAGCTGTTCCCCCCACGGGCCCAAACCGAAGATTCTGCGGACTTGTTTCCAGGCAAAGGCATCCAAACTCGCCGCTGCTGCGTTGTCTGCATTTGTCCATCTCAATTGTCTCTCGCTAGCCTTGTACGCCCCTCTTTTTAGAGCGTGCAGCGTTGCTCGTTTCTTGTAATCATTCCGGGGCCGGGTCCACCGCCGACCACCCACCCACAAGCATGCAAGCCGACACAGATACGGGTGCGGCCGTACAGTTAAAACCGCGGTGTTCGGACCTAGTTCCGAGATTAGACAGCGGTGCAGCGTGTGTAAGCTGTCCACCTGCCGACATGCTGTAGGTCCTGCAGCCTCCGTCGCCTCGACCGTATCCCCGCGACGCAAAGTGACTGACGCAGAGTGACTGTTTGCGGATGATCCCGTGGATTCGCAGTGAATCGCACTTCCGATGGGTACACTGGGACTTCCGCAATGGTGGCGAAGTTACTAACCAGTGTCAAGGCCAAATTCTCGTTTTGGGCTTTCTTGCAACTCCCATTCCGCTTGGTTCTGAAGGTGAAATTCAAGCGACCTGTGGTCATTCTCGTCCAAGTGACCATGTCTTGTAGAATTGTGTTGGTTTTTCCATATAGATGACACGCCTGCGCCAACGTTGTCCAGATCCCATTCCGGTCCCATACTCTGACCGTAGTCATGTCTGTATACGGCAGCCATTCCACCGCGAGCTTAATAGGTGATGCCTATTCCAGTTGTGACCTTACCAGGGTGATGTTGGCTAGGAGTGTCCTGCAGTCCATACTTAGAGTGTCCTCCTTCCACTTCATGTGAATCGTGTCCGACTGACAGTATATTGCCATTGTAAGCGGGTTCAAAAGTGCAGGTAATTCTTCGACTCCTTTCGGTGCCCCAGCCATGCTGACGAGTAATTTTCCTGTTTCCCATAGTGTGGACTGGTGGCGAAATGTGCCGGACGTTGGGTCAACGTACCCTGGTGTGATGTAGACACTTGGTGCTACAGGAAAGCGTTTACGGTTGAAAAGGACGTCTCCGACGATGTGAGCTTGCCTTGTTGCTGAATGTGCCCACGTGCCGACTACTATTGCTGCAAGCGCTAGGATTTCCACGCGTAGGTTAGGCAGTGAGAGACCTCCACTGTGTCTGGGCAAGGCTGCCAAGTCTGCGTCAAGCCACGCTTTGCCATTCTCCGCATCGGTTGTGAAGTGTCCGTGCCAGACGTAGTGTTTAATTCTCGTGTCCATGGCCTGGACCTCCATCACCGACGGCCATGCGTGACGCGCTATATAGAGGAGTTTCGGTATAATGATGGCACTGGCCATCCTGCTGCGCGCTGGTCGACAGTGAGGAGTTTTTGGCTTGCCAGCCGCAATCGTGTTGTAAGTTGTTGCAGAGCTACCGTCCACGACCTCTGTGGATTTCGTTTACTTCCAACTTGGATTCCAAGGTACCTGCAGGTTGCATCGGTCGGTTGGTAGTGCAGTTCCGGCGGTAGTGTCATTGATGGAGTCGCTCCCTCCGGATGTAGTGCTACAACCAGTGTCTTGTCGGTGTTAATTTGCAGCCCCGACGCCTTGCCGCAGGAGGATGCCACGTGGAGTAGCGCAGGGATGTCCTTCGGGCTGGCGACAAAGGCCGCAGTGTCGTCTGCGTAGCCCGCAGCCCGCAGCTCAAATCGACCAGCCTCTGAATGAACTATGACCCCTTTGCACCCCATAAAGCCGTCCAATTTTCTGTACAGAGGCTCTAAAGCCAGGATGAACAGCATCGGTGCCAAGGGGCAGCCCTGCCGAATTCCGCTCGTAACCCGTACATATCGTGAGGTGGACCCATTCACCAGGAAACGCGCCCGTGTACCTTCAAGTGTACTGTCAATTGCTCGGACAATTTTTTCTGGGTATCCTTTCCGCCTAAGAATGGACAGCATGTATGCTCGATCGAGTGCGACGTAGGCCTTCTTGAAGTCCAGCAGTAGCGCAGAAGCCTCTCTCTGAGAGAGATCGGTGAGTACCATACTTTGTGCTGCCTCGTACAGGTCTATCGTGTCGTGGATTTGTCTACCCGGAACGAAGCCATTTTGGTTGGGGTGTATGTGATCTGGCAGCGTCATGCTGACTCTACTTGCCAGTATCTTCATCAGGAGCTTATAGTCCGTGTTAAGCAGGGCAATTGGGCGGAAGTTGAGTGCATTTTGCGAAGATCCTCCTTTTTTGAGGCAGAAGATATCCGCGTCCAGAAATGAAGGCAGGAAGATTCCTGCGTCGTGCCAACATTGCAGCTAGCTCGCCGGTCATTGGTCTTCCTCTTCTGTCTCACTGTATTCACACGCACAGCATTCGAGTTGACTGGTGTGTCTCGAGCACTTAACAAGTATCGAAGCCTTTTATGTTTCAGTAGCTTTAATATTGTTCGTTGAGATGGTGCTGTTGCAGCGACGACGTTGAATGGGTCCACTAGGCTAGCTGTTACTGTGATAGGTTGGGGTGGGTAGCATGATGCTGGCAAATTTTGCAAGCGCTGAGCACTGGTGAGCATAGTGTGGGCTGAGAGAGAGATAGAGACTCTGTCTGGGAGGACCGCAAGCGCTAAAAATGAAGTGATGGGAGCGTTCTGTAAATCGAAGGTACACCTGGCCACGACGCTATGAGGGTTCATCTGTACTGTCGCCGAATTATAAATACTACTGAAGTACATACCGAGCTTAATGCATTACAAGTGTCACTCATCACTTGACACATTCAAACTTGAAGCAGAAGGTTATGTAAAACAGATAGCCGCCTTTTCGGCGGCCTCTGTCTATAATGAACTTAAATGAATTATTGAGTATTACGAGGGAGTTGGACTGGTGGTGTTGTGGCAAAGGTTAGACTACAACACGTTGCTAATTCAAATAGCAATATTTAGATAGATGGATCGTGATGGCGTTGTCGATGTACCGCGTATTAATATATTGAAAAAGGGATCAACAATGTTGAGTCACCGAGTAGATCGTACTTAAGTGAGACTTAGAGTTACAGCTCTTAGGTACGCAGAACAGAAAAAGGGGGGTAATTTACTGTAGAATACCTGCAGCAGATTCAAAAAATTTGGCATTTGTCGAGATGTTGATAAGTGGCGTAGGCCCAAGCCCTCCACCAAGTCTAACACGAAAGTGGCAGCCATATAGCGATGTTACTTAAAGATATACAAGTACAAACCTTTGTGAATATCCGGGATACCGCAAGACTCGGTGTGTTTCAGGAGGAGGGGCCAGACTACTTCGTTGTGGTAGTGCTGATGCCGCGGTTATCATAGGTCAATGCGTACCCTCAAGTGAATATCAGTCTGCCTAAAAGGTGATTGAGTGGTATCACAAAGCACATCTATACATTACTCATTAACATTCATACAAATTCGCAGAACAGCTTCTTTTACAGTAGTAATCATGTGAAGAGATCTATTCAAGCATTCG